AACCGTGGGGCTTGGTCCGTACGGATCACGGATCAACTACGATCCGTTTAACCACTAATCGATACCCAACCCTAATGATAATTCACTCTAAACTATGCAAAAGCCTGGTTACGCCTCTGTCCACGTGCAGTACTCAAATCAAGCAAGAGCAAAAGAAGAAGAGTTTGGCCAATCAGAGCGCTGGATTCATTCCCCAAATAGCAAGCGAGGATGATTGACAAATGCGGAAGGCCTATCATTAAAAAGAGACTGCAAATTGACAACAACACAAAATCCCACTCGATTCCCCTTCCACTCCCGCCATTTGACTGATTTCTAAAGTGTGGACAGTACAGTAGTCATTACTTAGTTTTTTTTTCTGTTTTGTTTAAATAATTTCAGTGCGTTTTATTTCTCTCCGAGCTGACTGTTTGTGTGTGTCCGTGAGTTCACGCGCTGAGATGAGGAAACTCCTCTCCGCTTATAGCATGCATTCGAAGAAGCAACACACGCCAAAACATCTTCCGCTGTAATGAAGCATTTCTAAACCTGCCGTCCAACAAAAGAGAACATTATTACATGTTTTTGCTCCACATCTGTCGAGTGTTTGAAATAACTTCCTTCTGTCAACTGATGTGGCTTCTTATCACAGAATGAGGCAGAAAATATATTCTATACTGTAAAAAAAAAAAAAAAAAGGCTATGTTGATAAGCAATTGATTATAAATGTACATAATTATTAATATGAAAATACCCGAAATGGCTTGAACAAAGATAAATGATACATTGTCGCAGTCAAGTGTTTGTCTTTGTTTTATCATTCAAAACATTTCTGTCTTCTTTATATTCAGTTACAGTGACAGCTGGATGTCTTTGTCAATATTAGGGATTTCCTGGAGTGTCATCAGTTCCATTACTTCTGTGATGCATATGTGGATTTTCTGCGCGAGGTCGCCCTCTGGCATCCAGTATGAATGAAACATTACATGTTTATAGTGCTAAATGGCCAATCCATAAAAATAATACTTCTCTCAAAAGCAATTTGTAGACATATGATAATCCATGTTTTTCTACAGTGTACAGAAGTGTACTGGAGTTTTTTTTTCTAAATAGCATTTTAAATTACAACTCGCAAAAAAAATACTCAGATGTGCTAAGCCATCAGAATTGAACTGAACTGAAAACTGTGGTTTAAAAACCAAGGTATGTATTGATCCGTTGGCTAACTGTATTGTTGCATACTGTGCAGACCTGCTAACCTTGGGAAAATATTTAACATTTAATCTTGCATTTTGCACATTGTGCAATTACGATTAGCCATCAAGGAGCTTCAAGTATTAATGTAGGAATAAATGAACCCCCCCAAACCCGTGTCCCGTCCCGTCACACTGATGTTTTTTAAAAGAAATTTTCCAAGGTTTGCAAGTCTGCATCAATCACAAGAGTGATGCTGATGTTAGGTTAAAAAAAAAAAAAAAACTTTCTTGGTTCAAAAAGATTTGCAAACTTTATAAATTAACCTTGAGAAATATAATATACAAATCTGAAATGAGCATTGTGACCTATGATCGGTGTAATATGTAAGGGCTCATGTACAGATGTTCTTTGTCACAAAGTGGTTTACTGCTGTTTATGCGTTAGTGAAGCCAGTGACTAAATGTTCAACTTTACACTTCCTGTTAGTAGCGTGAAAACCATCTGTTTTCTATATACCGTGCTTATTTTATATAGAGAAAGTGATCAAAGATTGTTCTTTTTATAATTGCTGGAGCAGTCCATTCGAGATCAGTGCGAGTCAGTGATTTGATTTCGGCATTTTCTCCAAATCTACCGTTATAAGCAATGACTCAGTTTACACTGCTCAGTGAGTCTCTTTATTTACAAGAGTTTTCACTGTGTTAGCAATGATTCAAGTATGTATGAGATTGCAGAAATCATGTTGCACACATTGTGTGCTCAGTAGACATGACTGTGTTTGGCTGTTATAGTCAAGAGTTTTCAAGAGTTCCACATGTAACGCTCATTTCATATGCAAAGATGTTAGCCAATCATAGCAGTGGGTGTTTACATTGAAGTCTCACATCAGACACTTGGAGGGAAATATTCAGGGTAGAAAATGACCATTTACTTCTAAATTAAAGTTTTTGATGAAAAACCATGCTAAGATTATCATTGTACCTCCTAATGTTCCTAGGTCCCTGTGACTTTCGCAGTGCAGAAGAAAATGCACAGAGTTGCCAAATTTAGTTATAGAAATGGAAAAATTAATCTCTAGAGCTGCTCTGCGAGTCACTTTAACGGCATTTTATTTCATTTGATAAAACTATCATCAGATGCACTCAAAAACTCAAAGGTCTTTACGACAACCCACCAAAATAAAAGTTTGGTTTGACTTGAAATTATTGAAAAATATTACTGTATAATTATCAGAATATCTCACAATTTGTCCATGTTTTAATTTAAACTGTAAAAATGTTTACAGTTTTCAGTAAAAAAATGTAAGGAGTTGTTCCATTTACCTAATGCCACTAATGGCTTTTTCATCTTAATGAACAAGTAATTATGCATTTTGTTTGCCAGATCCCCTCTTCGGCAGTAGAGATGCCAGGCTCTGCTGACGTGTCCGGGCTGAACGTGCAGTTTGGTGCGCTGGATTTTGGATCCGAATCCACTGTGGAGAATCTCAACCAATCAGAAAGTAGCTTTCAGGAACCTGTGGGCGCTCCTCAAACCCAGAGCAGCCTGTACTCCAAACCCACCACCATCAGGTCTGACTGTCCACCTGTTTGTCTGTCTTTTATGCATGTTTACAAGATCTTAAAGGGATATTTCACCCAAAAAACGATTATTCAGGAGACTCGGACTATACCTCTACATTTGTATGGATTACAGTGTCTTTATGAACTTTTCGAAAACTTGAAGGTTGTGTTGAAATAGGCTTCCAGTGGAGGGACAGAAATCTCTCAAGTTTTAGTTAAAATATATATTTTTGTGAGGGTGAGTAAATGATGACAGAATTTTTGGGAAGAACATATCCCTTTAACTTTGTGTAAATATGGTAGAATCGATAACATTATTATGTTTGTTTGAAATCAGCATTGGCACAAATGCTGTTGATAAAACCCAGATCCGATCAAAGATTGTTCTTTTTATAATTGCTGGAGCAGTCCATTCGAGATCAGTGCGAGTCAGTGATTTGATTTCGGCATTTTCTCCAAATCTACCGTTATAAGCAATGACTCAGTTTACACTGCTCAGTGAGTCTCTTTATTTACAAGAGTTTTCACTGTGTTAGCAATGATTCAAGTATGTATGAGATTGCAGAAATCATGTTGCACACATTGTGTGCTCAGTAGACATGACTGTGTTTGGCTGTTATAGTCAAGAGTTTTCAAGAGTTCCACATGTAACGCTCATTTCATATGCAAAGATGTTAGCCAATCATAGCAGTGGGTGTTTACATTGAAGTCTCACATCAGACACTTGGAGGGAAATATTCAGGGTAGAAAATGACCATTTACTTCTAAATTAAAGTTTTTGATGAAAAACCATGCTAAGATTATCATTGTACCTCCTAATGTTCCTAGGTCCCTGTGACTTTCGCAGTGCAGAAGAAAATGCACAGAGTTGCCAAATTTAGTTATAGAAATGGAAAAATTAATCTCTAGAGCTGCTCTGCGAGTCACTTTAACGGCATTTTATTTCATTTGATAAAACTATCATCAGATGCACTCAAAAACTCAAAGGTCTTTACGACAACCCACCAAAATAAAAGTTTGGTTTGACTTGAAATTATTGAAAAATATTACTGTATAATTATCAGAATATCTCACAATTTGTCCATGTTTTAATTTAAACTGTAAAAATGTTTACAGTTTTCAGTAAAAAAATGTAAGGAGTTGTTCCATTTACCTAATGCCACTAATGGCTTTTTCATCTTAATGAACAAGTAATTATGCATTTTGTTTGCCAGATCCCCTCTTCGGCAGTAGAGATGCCAGGCTCTGCTGACGTGTCCGGGCTGAACGTGCAGTTTGGTGCGCTGGATTTTGGATCCGAATCCACTGTGGAGAATCTCAACCAATCAGAAAGTAGCTTTCAGGAACCTGTGGGCGCTCCTCAAACCCAGAGCAGCCTGTACTCCAAACCCACCACCATCAGGTCTGACTGTCCACCTGTTTGTCTGTCTTTTATGCATGTTTACAAGATCTTAAAGGGATATTTCACCCAAAAAACGATTATTCAGGAGACTCGGACTATACCTCTACATTTGTATGGATTACAGTGTCTTTATGAACTTTTCGAAAACTTGAAGGTTGTGTTGAAATAGGCTTCCAGTGGAGGGACAGAAATCTCTCAAGTTTTAGTTAAAATATATATTTTTGTGAGGGTGAGTAAATGATGACAGAATTTTTGGGAAGAACATATCCCTTTAACTTTGTGTAAATATGGTAGAATCGATAACATTATTATGTTTGTTTGAAATCAGCATTGGCACAAATGCTGTTGATAAAACCCAGATCCATTCCATAAACAAATGACTTTAATGCATTTCTAATCAAATTTTTCATGTTTTAGCGAGTCTTTAGGTGGCTTGCCTCCAGCAGTAATGGAGTCCAGTTACCCATCAGCCTCTCTTGGTTTACCGAGCACTACTGCCCCTCCTGTCTTGGCTTCATCCTCAGCTAGCAGAGTGGCGTCATCGGCCACCACCCCTCTCGGTGTATGACCAAAACTCTTTTCATCACATTTACCATAGCTTGGCAAAATAAGGCATTTCATCTGGAATCTTCACAATCAGTTCCTCATGCAGATTTTGCTCATGTTTAAGTTCACAGCTTTCACCGACAGAAAGCTGCTTGCTTTGAAAGTGATTTCTGTGTGAGTGGTGCTTCATGCATCCCTAAGCTCTTAACGCTGGCCCTTTTCGCCTGCACCTTAATTAGATTAGCTTGGTCCAGACCATCCAGAATCCAGAGCTGAACCGTTTTTATTCAGGATTCCTATGCTTATGGAAAATACCTGGAAATATCTAGAAATTTTATATTTCTTGTTTTTGAGTTTTCCATGCCAGGAAGAGCAATAATGATATAAAACGTTATTTGAAATAACTAAAAGTTAAAATCTAAACTTTATTTCATCTAGTTGCTGAGGCTATGTATCTCATTTTAATTGTTTAACTTGATGTAGTAAAATAACTAAAACTGAAATAAAAATGAATAAAAACTGATATAAAAAACAAAAACCACTAAAAATGACAAACAACAAAATCACTAAAACTTTAAAATTAAAATTAAAACAGAAAATATAAAAGTAAAAATACTGAGTCAAAATATTAATGAAAACTATAGTAGTATCTCAGTGTTACTAAAATAAAACTGTTACTGAACCTAATGATTCATTAGTGAATTGCTCTGAATTTGAACGAAATTAAAATCCAGTTATCAAGAATGTTTTAGTTGTAGTGTTACATTGGTCAAACCAGTTGTACCATTGAGTCCACATGAATCAGACCCCTGTTTTCAAGCAGAATAGAATTAGTCCAAAAAGTTGCTTTTATTCTAATCAAATGAACAGAATAGGGATTATCAGTTCATACTACTGCTAACACACTCTCACAAGCAGACATGATGAGATCTGTTTTCCAGTTTGGTCAGGTGACGTTTGACATACAAGGGCTGTCCGGAAATTATCCAGCCATGTAATATGAAAAGTAGAGATTGAAGAAGATACGATATACAGGAAACACTGTACATAGGACAGTGATGCCTCAGTCATTGATTTTAGTTTTGGCAAAAGCCAGAAGTCGCAGGGTGCCAAATCTGGACTGATCATTGTCGTGATGAAGCTGCCAATCACCAGTTGCCTAAAGCTCCAGCCGTTTTCATCGTATTGCATCTCTCATCTCGTATTTTTCACATTAGCTAGCTGGATACTTTAAGGACAGCCCTTGCATACCCCATTCTGGTGTAAAAAAAATCAGCAAAACAAAGCAAATGCTCTGATATGTGTATTAAAAGTGTATTCACCCAAATTTCATTTTTGGGTGGAACATCCATGTAAACTATTTGATGGTCTTCATATATCTATTTTTCGTTTCCCACAGAACGGATTCAGTGAAATGAGGATATCCAACGTACAGGAAGGTAATTGAGTTCTGTATTACCAGATACTCCATTTTTACCTGTACTTTCTTTGCTAGTTGAATTTGTAGCATAGGGCCACAATTGACATTTTTGACCGAAAATATTTGCAGCTGCTCCGTCCAGCACCCCTCAGCCCATATCCACAGCCCTGCCCACAGAGAATAGCTTGTCATCTTCATCACTGTCATCTTCCTCCTCTTCAACAGCAGCGCCTGCCCTCAGCACAGCTCTTCCATCACTTAGCAGGTATGACTGACCACCCCATTCAAATTTCAATCTCATTAAAGGGGACATTGGATGAAATTTTCACTTTTTTAGCTTTTTTTTGCATTTAGTTGGGTTTCTGGAGTGTCTGCCAGTTTAGAAAAGCTGAAAAGAAAACACGCAGCCAGTTTATGGGCTGTCTGAAAATGTGTCATCCAGCGAGCCGTTTCAATTTGCAGCCGGTTTCTACATGGATAGCTAGCTATTTGAATAAGACCACCTCCAAGCCATGTACGGAGTCCAGGGCAGCAAGTCATGCGTCTTGTGTCGACTCGCCCCACGTAAGAGAGGGGTGGAGTGAGTGAGCAGTAGCTCATTATCATTTAAAGAGACATGCACCAAAAACTGGTGACTGTGAACAGAGCTGCTTTTGACAAGGTAAAAAGAGTGTTTTACACTACCATTGAGGAATTTTAACCAAAGTATATTGCAGGCATTTCATGAAAACCCTAAAGAATCACACCAAATTGTGGAAAATGGGCATCCGTTGTCCCCTTTAAATATTCATGAGAGAAGAATAACATTCATGAGAAGCAGTCAGTCTCCTTATGGTCTTATGATTGCTTGTTTTTCTCAGTCACGTGAGCAGCATTAACTCTCCTGGATCTTCAGCGCCCACCAGCTCTTCCCTGAGTGTAAGTGTCTCGTGAGGCTCCTCCCATTTCCAGCGTTTCCCTCTTTACCTGAGCTTCTCTGCCTTATTTGTCCTGGTTTCAGCAATGAGCTCCTCTTGTTTTTTTGTATTATGGAATAGTGTGACTGGATCAGTGTTAAATTTAATTGAAATGCTTCTTTTAGACGCAGATGGGCACTGACGTGAATGTGAGCCTGTCCACATACTCTGGCGCTGTGTCGAGTGTGTCCAGCTCGACGGTCAACTCAAATGACCTGAGCGCTGGAACCCAAAGCCTTTAAATATTCATGAGAGAAGAATAACATTCATGAGAAGCAGTCAGTCTCCTTATGGTCTTATGATTGCTTGTTTTTCTCAGTCACGTGAGCAGCATTAACTCTCCTGGATCTTCAGCGCCCACCAGCTCTTCCCTGAGTGTAAGTGTCTCGTGAGGCTCCTCCCATTTCCAGCGTTTCCCTCTTTACCTGAGCTTCTCTGCCTTATTTGTCCTGGTTTCAGCAATGAGCTCCTCTTGTTTTTTTTGTATTATGGAATAGTGTGACTGGATCAGTGTTAAATTGAATTGAAATGCTTCTTTTAGACGCAGATGGGCACTGACGTGAATGTGAGCCTGTCCACGTACTCTGGCGCTGTGTCGAGTGTGTCCAGCTCGACGGTCAACTCAAATGACCTGAGTGCTGGAACCCAAAGCCTCAACGCTAACGGCGCATCCGCTCCCTCTGCTGTCCGTTCTGCACCACTGCAGACCAACATCACACCCTCCAACACCTCTGGTCAGTCACAAAAACTTCAACATGATTATAGTGATGCAGCAGAGTTGGCAATATTTTTATGATGATTATTTATTATTAAAAAGTAAATGTATAAACTAAATGTTATGTCAATCTGTAAATAGTTTTTTCTTGTTTCCAATTTTTTTTTCTATATCTTCAGGTAAAGCTCCTCCTAACCTGGCTCAAGGAGTGCCGCCGCTGCTGGCCAGTCAGTATATCATGGGTCCTGGTGGCCTCCTTCCTGCTTACCCGGTTAGTGTATGGCTGATCTGCTCTCAGATAGAGGAAGCAAAATTTTTATATATACACTCTCTCTTATCCTTTGCTGAAGTGTCATCTCACTTGCATCTCAGTGATGGTACTGACCTGTCTTGTACACGTTTCTGATCTTTCTGTGCCTTCTCATCCCTAAAGCCAATCTATGGATATGAGGACCTACAGATGATGCAGTCCCGCCTGCCCATGGTAACCATTTCATAGTCAATTGCTTGTTTTCACACTCTTTTGACAAAGCACTTCCTCCTATTAATAAAATTTACCCCAAAATAATTTCTACTCCGTAGTAGAGGTCTGCACGGGCTTTAAACTGAAGCCCGAACCCGAGATCGTCCGACCCGACCTGACCCGAGCGGCACAGTTAAATTTAAAGCCCCGACCCGAACATGAAATCTTTTTTTTCCCCCACAACGAATAGCCAATTTAAAAAAAAAATGCTGTATTTCACGATTGCATGCAACGGTCAAATGCATGTAAAGAAAGAGAATCATTAAGGCTCGGCCAGTTCACAAGGTCGTGAGACTCAATAATACGAGACGTTGTCGTTACTACAGCTGATAAAATGCCAGACAGTGTACAGCTAGCTGAGGGCAGAAATATGCTAATACGGGACAGTCTGTCAGCAGCTGTGGGCGGAGCCTAATCAAAATTGCTTGATAATTGAGACTATAGGTTTTTTGGGGATTACTCTCTACAAGCAATGAGGCTTAGTTACTTCAAAAACAGCGATTTTTACCCCCTCATCGCAGAGAAATATAAAGTTGCAAGTCAGTAGCCTGTCGAAGCTATTTTACTAATAAAAGTTTCCGTGCTGTGTTGTCGTGTGCAATAATGTGTGTGCGCGTGCATCTATGAAAGCAGCGTAGCCTACTGCATATAGTTTGTTTAGCTATAAACCCGAGCCCAACCCGAAGCTATTCATTAAACATTACCCCAACCCGAAACCCGAAAGTATTTTGGGACTCGTCAGGCTCGGGTCGGGTAGCAGACCTCTACTCAGTAGGGCTGCACATTTTGGGGAATAAAAATAATTGCTAGAGATGCATCGATCGACCGGCCAGGGACTGGAATCAGCTGATTTTTCGCATGATCGGCCTGAACCGGTGACCGGTCAGTCAGTGTCACATCTTGCCGATTCCTAGCCAGTCCATTTTGACGTCACAGCTACGCTCACATCCGCATGTAAACATGTCGTCGGCTTGGAAGTTCTTCACTGTAAGTGAAGACGACACACAGTTTGCAATTTGTAATACGTGTAGAGCCAAAGTAAACTGTGGGGGAACCACAGGGCTCGATTAATGCTTGTCCAGGACAAGTACATTTTTAAAGGGGCAAGTGAGAGAGAATTTTACTTGCCCGACCGGACAAGAAGCCTGATTAAAATTTCAATAACAAACATAACTAGGGAAGCACTGAAACTTGGCCACCAAAAAATTTTGCCCGAGAATGATTCTAATTTTATTGCATTCTGCGACTGGTAATGCATTGATGTTGTGTCAGAAGAGGCTCACACAGCCTGAGTGAGTGTTTGAGAGAGACTCGTGCCGAAATCAAAACAAATGAGCGCAACAGCACACACAGTAACCGCAGTGTGCGTCTAGTAAGTTATATAAAAAAGTAGAAAGAAAAAATGTATGATATAGGTAAGCAACATTACACGACCAAGATGTTTCTCCGAATATCAGCATGACTGCAATGTGACACTGATTTTATACAATAGTAGTTCAATAAACAAGAAGTTCAAATTAAGTGACTTACATTTTAGACACAATATTTACTGTTTTTGCTCAATTTCACAAATGAAAATGGTTCCTATCAAAGCCACAGCAGAACTGTCCACGAGCAACACAGCGGTGTTTCGTTACTGAATGAATCCACAGTTTTGAACTAATCGAGTGAGTCAATGATTCAGTAACCCATTCATAAAGACAGTCACTTGCCTCGTTTCTGAATGATTCAGCCGTTTGAATTAATTGGTTGGATCAGTGACTCACTTATTAAAACTCATTATTTATGCATTTGCAATTTTGCAGTGTAAATGCATTTATGGCACCTCAGCTTTATCAAACAGTCTGTGTAAATACATCTTATGGCACTTCAGATGCAGCTACTGTGTTTCCTGCAGTTAAAAAAGATGGAGTATGTTGATACTGATTCCATTTAAATGGTAACAACTCCACATTCTTATTATTCTAACAGAATTAAGTGAAACGATGTAAGAATTTGATGTGAAAGATGACACATTTAATAAGGATAGGGAAAAAATGCCCATTTATAAACAATGGGAAATGACATCTGTTTTGTTATATACAGCAACTCATTTCTACCTCTTTCCAGTCACAGAGCACTTTATTTTGATAGTTGTTTACGTGAGAGAATATCTGTAATTTCTGGAATTTGAAATGTTTAACTTCTCTTATGTAAATAATTTTTTAGTATTGAAAAAAAAAAGTAGTTTTTTGTTTGTATATGCTGTCAGTTATAGTTTTTAGAAAATTGCATATAGTTTTTGATATCGATATCGGCAGGTCACACAAAAAAAAAATGGAAATTGAAAATCAGGATCGGCCAAGAAAATTGCAATCGGTGCATCTCTAATAATTGCTGCTTTTCTATTTTTTTTTTTTAAGTTCCAAGTTCGCTGTGCTTGTTTGTGCTGCATAATTTGGACAAAAATTGATTTATATCAATATGACTAAAATAATTTGTATTAATATTAGTTGTAGTGCTAAATAAAACTAAGAAATATTAATATTGTAATATTAACTATTCCGATATTTCACAGTATAAAAAAATCGAGTGTTTAAGAAAATATATATTTTTTACAGTACAGCTGTACAATTGTCTATTGATTTTCAAACATTAAACCAAGCTTTTATGGCGGAAACCTGCAGCGAGCCGTTAAAGCTTCTCTGGTTGACAGCAGCTTTTTTGAAAGTGCTTTTCATTATAATTACGGAAAGATGTTGGCACATATTGTCCCTAATGCATGTTCAACTCAAACTCAAGAACATGCAGAGATGAGTTCATGGGGAGGAGCTTTTACTGTGGTGTTAATATGATAAATTGACTAAATGATGTTAATTTTTATTATTGGATGACCTGTTCCTTGATGTTTATTTCTCATAGATTAAATTAATTTGTTTTTTTGGTCACTTTTCTATGTAGGATTATTATGGCATGACTTTCCCTGGCACAGCACTAGCTGGCAGAGATGGAGGATTAGCAAACAATCCCTACTCAGGTAAGCAGCCATCGTTTAGGGCTCAGTGCTAAGGATTTTTTCTACTGGCCCAGTTGGGTCAGTGCTGCTAATTTTTACTGGCCCTGCCAACGTTTTCACTGGCCCTGCCACAGAAAAATAAAAGTTATCTTTTATTCTAATATGCTTATATAACACCTAAATTTTAGATACTAATTAAATTTTACAATTCTCGATTCTAATTTCGATACCACAGCCAAAACTACTAGCCTGACAAATATAGTTCAAACATTATTAAAGACAAGTGAACAGTCAATAAATAAGAACAAATGACATGCAAAAGCACAACTGAATATATAGAACAAAGATACAAATGAAATAATGCTTTAGGACAATCAGCAGATGGGCTGAATGAGACGCAGATTCACGTTCTGACAGCAGGTGGCGCTTATGGAACAGCAGCACAGCGTTTCCTTGGTTACCACTGTAAACAAAGCAGCACCACTTTAAATGCATTATACAGGGGCAAGATGAAAAGAAAATGCAATGTAAACTTTTCTGAAAACAGTCAGTTCCCCTCAGAGATACATTCATATAAACCCCCGATTCAACATTTAGTATTTTCTTCCAATATTTTGCACATCGTGAACGGTGATCTTGCTCTGCCTGCAAGTATTTTCTCTTCTTTGCGTTCACATTCAGTGTCTCTGGCCTCTGTTAACGGCTGTGTACACACTTTGTAATATTTCCACACAAATTATTTTTTGGAAAATGATTGCAGTGCAATGATTGCAGTTTGTGTGCAAGCCTGGAACAGAAAACGAATGAAAAAAAAAAAAAAAAAAAAAAGGTCAGTCGACCGGCGCTCCACTGTATAAATGAAATCTAGATTAATCAATGATAAAGCTACAAAGTTACTCACAGTGACTGGTATTTTTACATACTTTTGTATGTATTTGTCTGTTCAAGCGCAAGAAGGTGAGGAAAGAAACACAATTCGGGTCTTGCACGTTGTCAGAGACGCGTCTCTCTGTGTGCGCGCTGTACACACAGAACACTGTGCGAGTACTGAATGCAATTGTCTTTCGCATCTTGCTTGAATGCTTTAAAATCGCTTGAATTTTAAAATTAGCAAGGCTTAAAAACACGTGCAAATGATATATTTTCGTGATGACGCAGCAGTGGCCCGATCAATTATGTCAACTGACCCAGGCGTCTTTCACGCTGGCCCCGGGACACCGGGCAGTCCTTATTGTCAAGCCCTGGTTGTTGTTGTTTTTAAAGCACAAAGATTGTTATGCTAGTGCGAAAAGGACAAGAGTTATTACAATCCAGTACTTGTTCAGTCTAAAAGACTCTTCTGTCTCGACTTGCTCGTACAGGTGAGCCTACCAAATTTGGCCGCAGCGACTCAAACTCCCCAGCCCCTGCCACCAGTCTCTCCTCAGTGCCCCCCTCACAGTCTCAACAGAGTGCTGTCCCCCCTCAAAATCAAGGGCCACAGAACCCAGGTCAAGCCCAGCAGGGTCAGACCCAGGCCTTCCTCAATCCCCCTCTGCCTCCAGGTTACGGCTACACCAGCCTGCCCTACTACCCTGGGG